TATATAGCATTCAGCTTTGTTCGGGTATTTTCCCACGTCATAGTAGTGGTGCTTTTAAAGTTGTAGCAACGTTTCAGCAGAATCTCATCTGCCATCATCAGGCTTTTGTATAGTGTTCATCTGTGAGTCAAGCTTTTACAGTGGTTTCAGATTTGAATTTGGGGCAGCCTATTGCTGTGCCAGAATGGTTTTTTCTTCATCCTGATTGGTTGAGAGTCTTGGTCTGTGTTTATTGGTCTTGGAGTTTGCTGTGTTCTGCTTGATTGGTGTTTCTAATATCTTCTGTCTGTTTTTTGGCTCTTTTTGTATCTTGATTGGCTGACAACATTGTGTTACTTTATTGGAGGCCTTTAGTGCAGCTTGGCTCCGGGTGAATGGATGGCTATCATTAGTTAGGAAGCTAGGTTTCATCTGGGTGCCTGGTTGGGGTGTGTTTGAGCTGGAGGTATCAGAGGGGATCTGTTTGTGCCCAGGTGTTTGCCTGGCTTGTGGTGTGGAGATTTTTTTGTTTGTGAGTGCAGGCTTCCAAATGATTGACAGTCTGGTGGAATCATCTCTTCTGTTCATGCTTTCTGATCTTTTTTCAATCTCTATGGCTTCTCTGATGATTCTGTGGCTGGGGTTTTCTATAGTGGCTAGAGTTTTGGTGCCATTGAAGTTGATGCTATGACCTGTGGCTTCCATGTGTTGGACTAGTGAGGAAGTGTGTTCCAGCTTTTTGACTGCATTTTTGCGTTCATCCAGGCGGGTACTTTTTCTTCTATTGGTCTGTCCAATGTATGTGGCCGGGCATGATGCACAGGGGACTTCGTATATGCCTTGGTTTTCCAGGTCAATTTTATCTTTGGGGTTGCTAAGGATGGCTGCTATTTTTCTGTCTGTTTTGAAGGCAGTCCTGATGTGATGTCTGTGTAGTACCTTACTAATTTTGTCTGTAGTACCTCTTATGTAGGGCAGGACAGCTGTTCCATAGGTCTGTTCATCTTCTGGGTCTCTATTATGTCTCAGTGTGTTTTTGTGGATCAAGCCGGTGATTTTGCTTTTGTGGAAGCCGTTGGCTGTCAGTACTTTAGTCAGGGTGCATAGTTCAGTCTTAATGTGTGTCTTGTCTGCCAGGTGTTTGGTTCTAGTAATTAGTGTTTTAGCCACGGAGTTTATCTGTGCTGGGTGGTGGTGGGATTGGGCATTGAGGTAGCGGTTGGTGTGTGTTTTCTTCTGGTATATGGTGTGTCCTAGTGTGCCATCTGTTTTTTTTGTAGATTAGTACATCTAGGAATGGTCGTTGTTTGTTTGTTTCCATTTCCATGGTGAACTTGATTTTGGGGTGTGTGCTGTTTAGGTGTGTTAGGAAGTTGTTTAGGTTTTCTTTTCCATGGGGCCAAATCACAAATGTGTCATCGATGTATCTTAACCATAGTTTGGGTTTGTGGATGGCATTGGCCAGGGCTCTGGATTCGAATTCTTCCATGAACAGGTTTGCAGTGACGGGTGACAGTGGTGATCCCATAGGGGCTCCTTCAATTTGTTTGTATCTTTGTCCTTTGTATATGAAATATGTGTTGGTTAAGCAGTGTTCTGTTAGTTCCATGAGGTGTTTAGCTGGTTGGTATTTATTTTTGATGATTTCAAGGGTCTCTTTTATCGGGACTTGAGTGAATAGTGAAACCACGTCAAAACTTACAAGCAGATCTTCTTGCTCCACGTGTAGATCTTTGATCATTTCCAAGAAGTGGTATGAGTTTTTTACATGAGAAGCTGCTGTTTCAGCATGGGGCTGTAGCTCTTTTGCTAGGTGTTTAGCTAGGTTTTGTAGTGGTGCTCCTCTGGAGCTGACTATGGGTCTGAGAGGTATGCCTTCTTTGTGTATTTTTGGGAGGCCGTATAGTTTGGGGCATCTGGAAGATTTCTCTCTGGGTATGATCGTGTGTTGGATATATATATACCGTGTTTCTCATAAAATAAGGCCGGGTCTTATATTTTTTTGAGCCCTGAACAAATGGCTAGGCCGTCTTTTCAGGGGTGACTTAGTTCCCCCCCTTGCATCCTCATCTAGAGCGCCCCGCGGGTGATCATGGTGAAGCGCAGAGAGCTCCCTACTCCCACCAAACACCTTTGCTGCAGACCCAAGACCTTTGGCAACCGTCGCTTTTGCTTTCCCTTCTGCCCATTCCGCCACCATGTTTGGAGCTGCCGCTTCCGTGTTTGGAGTGCCGCTGCCATTTGGAGTGCCGCCGCCATTTGGAGCACCGCCAACACGTTTGAAGCTGTCGCTTCTGTGTTTGGAGTGCCACTGCCATTTGGAGTGCTGCCGCCATTTGGAGCACCGCCATCATGTTTGGAGCTGCCACTTTATTGTTTGGAGCTGCCGCCATGTTTGGGGTGGCGGCGGCGCTCCAAATGGCAGTGGTGCTCCAAACAGCAGCAGTGCTCCAAACACAGAAGCGGCAGCTCCAAACGCGGCAGCAGCTCCAAATGCGGACATGGCAACTCCAAACAGTGGCATTCCTCCAAAGAGCAGTGGGGTACCAAACATGGAAGCGGCAGCTCCAAATGCGGAAGCAGCAGCTCCAAACAGCAGCAGTGCTCCAAACAGCGGCAGCACTCCAAACATGGAAGTGGCAGCTCCAAATGCAGCGGCAGCTCCAAATGCAGAAGCGGCAGCTCCAAATGGCAGTGGTGCTCCAAACAGCGGTGGGGTTCCAAATGCGGAAGTGGCAGTTCCAAACGCGGTGGCGGCATGGGCAGAAGGGTAATCAACAGCGGCGGGCGCTGAAGGTCTTGGGTCTGCCGCAAAGGTGCTTGGCAGGAGTAGGGAACTCTCCATGCTCTGCCATGATCACCCATTAGGAGCAGCTGGTGGCGAGGAATTGCTGCCTGCGGGGCGCTCCTAAAAGCAAGTCCTTCCCCCCATTTTGCATGTTTTAAAATAGGCCTAAATTTGGGGGGAGGGGCTTAATTTCATTTTATGCCTAGAAAACATGCTGGGTCTTCCTATTGGGGGAGGTCGTATTGTTGGAGAAACACGGTGTATGTGTGTATATATATATATATATATTGGGAGTCTTGTTTATTGGTCTTGGAGTTTGCTGTGTTCTGCTTGATTGGTGTTTCTAATATCTTCTGTGTGTTTTGTGGCTTTTGTGACAGAACCAACCAATCAGGATGAAATAAAAACCATTCTGGCACAGCAGTAGGCTAGCCCCAAATTTAAAACTGAAATGGCTGTGAAAGTCTGACTCACAGACAAACACAATACAGAAGCCTGATGATGGCAGATGAGATTCTGCCGAAACATTGCTACAACTTTAAAAGCACAACTATAATGACGTGGGAAAATACCCGAACAAAGCTGAATACCATACATGTAAATACCTGCGAAAACTTAAGAAAACACACACACACACACACACACACACAC